AATCGGCGAGAAAAAGTTTTCAGGGCTCCGACCGAATAAGACGATAAATTAACTATACTGTGGTGTACTTGCATAGGCGCAGTGATCGTGAATTATGACTGTATTAGTATGGGTGGTGGTTGRCRSSGTGGTCAATATTATCCAATCAAAACCTTATAATTAAAAATATATTCCGGCTGATAATTATTTACGATAAAACGTAAATTTATAATTATCACTAGACGTCTGTTATTATCATTTATCACTGGGAAAAATGGTTTCGAATTTTCTCGATTTTTCTAACACGAACCACGCGRTGTTGGTTAAATCGATAGTAGACATAAGTGCCAAAACGAGATAAGAAGGATATAAATTGTATCGTATACACAAAAGTGCCAAAATCCCTTACACCTATACGGATGTTTCATTCCAGATATTCAATTTAGAACAGCGTAGGCAACTATATTCACAAGTGTCAAGCGCATACAATCTTATAATGCACCTAAAACTAATATTATTGTAATTATATGAATTTGTATTGGTAATACTTTTATGCGCTTTCTGCTTATATTATATGATATTAATATTGACGAAAATCATAAAATACGTTTTTTTTTTAATCTTTGATGTTTAGCTATAGCTGGTAAAATACATACTTGAACAGTACCTAAGCGGTTGCTACCGYAAACTAAATGTGCATTTAAGTGAATTTAAAATCATGTTTGTTACTACTCAAATATTATGTTCAAACAGTAATATTAAACTGTTTAGTTTTAAAACTTCGGGTCTTTTTATCACCCTCCTATTCGGGTAGTCGACTTTCAGCATATTTTATCTATAACCGAAATCATAATAAATATAATTATTAACATAAGTAACCATTTTATCATTTAATTTKTATTACATTTATTGATAAATTAAATATTTCCAACTGTAATATTTGAATTATAATTAAAAATCGTCAATTTTTTCAGAAAAAAAAATTATATCTAGGTACACCACTACACCATATTGCATAAACATATGATTTATGCTTACGGTGTGATCGAAAAGGGGCTATTTTCGCTACCTTATAAGTAGGTACTCGTATTAYATGGGTTCAGTACGATTTATATTTATCATAAGCTTGTAGTAGTGGGCTCACAAATAACACAAATTGCGTTAGATCGAGCGGAGCGTGTAAAATGTGCAGGTATGAAAAAAAAGGGCGTGTGTTTGAGTTATTGTATAAATCGTTTGTTTTTTTTTTCATACCTTTTCCGCCGAATTTCGATAACTTTTTAGGTATCTCAGTCGTCCTCCGTCCGCCGGCCACCGAAGTGGGCACTGTAGTCGTGGTAGTAGTGCTCGTAGTAGACACAGTGGTGGTAGTGGTGGTCGTTGTTGTYGTAGTCGTCGGCTTAGGTACGGCTGCATTATAATGAAAATATTAAGACAAACATTATTTACAAGGAAATTATAATACTTATATTATTAATTAGTGTAAACTCGTTTTTGACACTTATCCAGTTTTAATTGTATGTACGTATAAGTATAGGATGTCTCGTTGTATTGTTCAAATCCACCTACCTATATACTTATACATTACTCTACACGCCTYTTGACAAAACTTGCATAACTGTTTATACTTAATGGAAATTAATAATTCAACTTTTAAAATCTTTACATAAATTAATTCTGTAAATTGGATGTCTTGGATTTTACGAAAACACAATACCTAATAAACATTTTATTACTTTAATATATTATTCAATTGCATTTTTTCTTAAGGTACCTAAACTAAAAAAATACTGAAAATTATGCTAATTGAAACTCTCTAATGAGAT